GCTTGTAGGACCACATGCGAGCTCAGGGGAGGGAGAAGCGGGGTGGGGATGGGTGGAGTAGCGCCAGGAGAATGTCTTTTTTAAGGAGACAGGATAGAAATGGGCTTGCAAGATGATTTCAGATTTGGATCAGGACAGGAAAAGAGGGCAAGAGAAGTGATGTACAGTGGGCAGCACGTTCCAAATAAGATGTCAGCAGTAAGCAGAACGTGCCCAGGACAGTCCTCCCTAATACTAAAAGCACCCTGGATGGAGTGGTACACAGCCAGCGTGGAAATGTTAACAGTGCTTGGGTATACAAATACTGGAGTTTGCATGTCTGCTCACTTTCCTGCTTCTTTCTTTTCTGTTTTTTCTACCATAAATATATATTACTCGTGAATGTTAAAAAATGATCTGAACAAACCTAACCCATTTCCTTTCCTTGAAGGGAAGACCAGAATTTTTCTCGGATAGTGGCTTAGAGACAGAGTGGCTCTCCTAAGAGAAGGAAGCCCAGAGTGTTCAGCCCCACACTGTCTGAGGCCTCCCCAGAATCCCTGTATGGCCCCAGGCCTTAGGCTTCAGTGGACATGGGCCAGGGATGGGAGGACTTGCTCAGGCTGGCATTGCAAGGTGCCAGGCGCACCTGAGCAGCTGGGCAGGTGTGAAGGCTGACCCAGACCACTTGCAGCAGGCTGCGCCTCTGCACACACACACCCGCTCCCACCTCACACCCACTCCCACCTCCCCTCCCCTCCCGGAACCTCCCTCGCTTTCCCGGCTAGCTCAGGTGTGGCACATCTGCGGCCCATTGGCAGCTCTCTTGCCCATAGTGCTTGGGAGCTGTCAGGTTAAAAGCTGGCTTGCTCAACTTGATCCCACATGCGAGCTGTTTTATTTCCCTCTCTCTCCCTTACACGGCTTCGGTGTGCTTTTATAAATATTTCACTAGACTTGCTAAAGTCTATTTCATCTCTCTCTTAAATTTATTAAATATAAATGCAGCAACAACTCTACCATAAGTCTCTCTTTACTGTCAAAATCTCAGGCTCCCATGGAAGTAAATATAATTTGCTTTGTTTACCATGGGTAACTCAAGCCCTATCTGCTGTATCAGTACCTCCTGAGCCCCCCAAATCTCCCTGTTTTTATTAACGGGGAACTGCTGTGTCCTAGTGTAGGGCACAGGGCTACAGGGCCCACTTTGAAGATGACACGACAAGGCCTTGTAGGGGATTCTCTCTGAGACTTGGACAGCAGGGAGTACCTTGGTTCGCTGGTCCCTCAATGACCCCTTCAATTAGTCACAGTGGATGTCTTTCCTCATCACCTCAGACCTGAGTAACCCTGAGGCACACTGGGCAGAGCATTGCCCCTTGCTTCTCTTTTGGAATCAAGGGCCCACCTGCCACAGCCAAAAAAAAGAAATAGACCTCTGTGAAATGATTGAGGGCACTGACTCCCCACAACCCCCAGACCTGGAGCCAACAAAATGAGGGGCAATGCAGAAAAGTTCTGATCCCAGAAAGCCACAGAAGCCACCCCCAAGCCCCTGCCACTTCCTTTGTTCTATGTTAATTGCAAAATAAACACAACCCAGCCCACCGACTGTGGAAAGAGATTTCTGCCAACTGGGGAACCAGCAGGCAGTGGGCAGGCGCTGCCTTAGTTCTGGCGGCATTTGCCCTCCATCGGCCACGTGTGATTTTGCTGAGGAGGCAGGGCCACCAGAATCACTTGTCAGGATCAGAAGGACCTGCCTCAAGCTTGTGCACAGGGAGACAGGGAGAGGCAGGTCAAGACGGAAGAGACGGGCTCTCTGGATTTGCTCAGAGGACAGGAGGATGGTGACAATGGGCTTCTCTTCCACAAAGAAATGAGTCTGTTTCACAAGAAAATGTATTTTTCTCCATTTTCGCCTCTTAATAAAAATAGCCTTCTCAGTCTACCGTTTTTCTCTGGTTTGGTCATGACATTGGTGTAGAAAGTGTTGCATATCCTTTGTAAGAAAGGGTAAGACTTGGTCCTAAGCCCTGTTCCCAACTCCTAGCCTGGAATCTCCCACCAAATTCCCAGAGACAGAGCAGAGGATTCACAGGTGGGGACGGACAGTGGGGCCCTCACGTGGGATACAGATCTGAGCTAAAACTCAGCAGCTCCAGGAGACTGGGTCTCTGAGACCATCCTGCAGGTGCAGGGAGAAGAATCTCGTGTGGTCTTGCAGGTTTTCTCACTGCCTCTTTTAGACACACCAAGAAAAGAGAAGCTTTCCCCCAGGAGGAGAAAGGAGTGTGTTTCGGCTGCTGACCTCCTATTCCACATTACACCAGCCTGTTAAGCTACTCAGCTCACATTGAATGCTATTGTTTGGTATAATTTTGCTTAAAAATATGAAGAGGGGGCCAGGGATTTAGCTCAGTGGTGCCACCGCCTGCCTCACAAGCACAAGGACCCGAGTTCAATCCCCGGTACCAAAAATGTGTGTGTGTGTGTGTGTGTGTGTGTGTGTGTGTGTGTGTGCAAAGGGAATTTTAGTATCTGGCTTTTGAAATATTTAATAATTTTGATTTTACAGCTTTTTTCTTCATGCTTTTTTTTTTTTCTTTTTGGAAAATGGCCCCTGAGAAAAACTATAGGGTCCACTGCTCTTGGGTATACTGAGTCCTGGGATCTAGGATGGAGAAGCCAGAGAGAAGGGTTTTAAGGACAGCTGGGGAGAAGAGCCACTTGCTCTGGAATAAAAGATCCCTAACTTTCATCCTGCCATCCCTGGGACGTTCCCCAGAAGGTTCCCCCTGTAGACCCTGGGCAGCCCCACCTCTCAGGTGCTGTGGGAGGCTGCAAGTTCCCCAGGGTAAAGGACAGGAGCAGGATTGGGCTCCCTGCGTCAATTGCATGGTGGTTTTCAGGCGTGGGGCTGGAGCTTCCTGTCTCACCTGGGAGCAAGGCTATTTTGGGAGCTCGATGTTTCCCTTCTGCTCCAGGAGGGCGGGCAATGGGGGAGGCGCAGGCCTGAGGCTCTGTTTCCACCAGGTGTTCAGAGCAAGCTTTTCTTCCCTCCTGTTTCTGCTGCCCACTGCTGGTGGAATGGGTTTGTCAAGTTGGTATAACTTTTATAGAGATGTTTTTTAGTCACCTTTTCATAGTGGAAAAAAAAAATAAATAAAAGAACCCAGCCATGTTTTCCTTAAGATTAGTGGCATAGTCATATAAGGCATGATTTCCTGGAATAAACTTTACCTTGAGAATCCTGCAAGTCATTAGGAATCAATGAGTCCTAAGAATTTATTGTCTTTTGTTTCTTGGCCATTTTAGCAGTGGCTTCCCTTTTCCTGGGTTGGTGGGGACAAAAAAAGAGTGATATGGTAAATAAAGGCCCTTCTGCCTGTCTGTCTTTCTCTCCCTCTCTTTGGCCGAGCTCACTTAGCTGAACATGGACAAGATGAACATTTGTATGAATCAATTCCTTTGTACTTTTATACTTTTTACTTCATTCTTATGCACTTGCACGCAGCAAACCATTGTTTTGGTGACTTTCCTGGGAGGTCAGTGGGAACAGAACTGATATCTCTACTTTTTCAGGAGTCCCGAGGCTGGGAGAGGAAACTTATTTGTCTAGGTTGCATGATGAGCCCCTGGGGCTGGGAGCAGTATCCCTGTCCCCAACCCCTTACATCGGCTCCTCCATGCTTTTACCCCACATGACCCCTCTGCCTGCCTGGAGATTCGCGCACACCATGAAGGAGGCCTGCGAAGGGCCCCTGGCCAACTTTGGGGCCTCAAACTGTGTCTTTCTCCCTACTTCAGATCAAGGTACTGGAATGAGTCAGGGCACTGGTTCTCAGTGGGGGTACTTTTGTCCTCTGGTCACATTTACCAATTGGGGAACCAGAAATACTTTGGTTGTCACAGCTGGGGCTTGCTACTGGCATCCAGGGAGGCAAGGCTGTCGAACGTTCTCCCCCACCACAAAGGCTCACTGTCTCGGACAGTCAGTAGCTCCAGGTGAAGAAGCTCTGGTTTAGGGGACTGAGCCCTGCGTTTACTACCTTCTACGCATTCAGACCATGATGTGCAGCAAACACCTGTTGAATGCCTGGTGTGCTCTTAGTTCCAAGGCCTCTGCCTGCACGATTGCATCTTCCCATCCTCCTAAGATACAATTAGGCTCAGTGTTCTCTCTATGAACCCAAGAGAATATCAGGCCTAAGAGGGCTTTTTGGGAGGTGGCGTGCAGGACCAACACCGGGGAGCGGGTAGGATAGAGGAGAGAGTGGCTCTCCTAAGAGGCTGTGATGCACAGGACACTGCCAGTCCCAGTGGGAGCCCTGCAGTTGACCTGGTCCTCCAGAGACATTTCTGGATTATGGTGAGGAATCCAGCCCTCTCTGCCAGCCCCCAGAATCAATCACTTACATGGCCACCATGTGGAGGTGCTGTCTGTATGAGAAGTGACTTTTGGCTGAGGACAGAGCCTCAGAACAGAGCCACCAATTCTCCAAGAGGCTCTTGACAGGGACTTTGGCACTGGAGGGGGATGGGCAGCCCGGGGCATTGGCCGTGAAGGGCTTGTACACAGTGGCAGTTTGCTCCTTTCACAGGGCCTCCCATGCTCCCTGAAGGTGGAGGACTCTGAGGTCTGCTGACCCAGGGCCGTGGGTCTCTCCCAGAGCATCAATTTGCATTTTTAATCCCCAAAGCTATATATACATCAGCAACAGTGAGACATTTCGTGAAACATGCATTTTTAGTGTGTTGTCAAAATTCTAAAACAAGGAGATGCCACCTAGAGTTTGGCATATCTGTTTTCACTGACACACTGGGGATGAGCCGCATTCCTGCTGGGCAGAGGCAGAGCTTTCACAAGGGAGTCCTGCCCCTCTGTGCTACGCACTGACCCACAACCCTACTTTGTCACCTTCATCTTTCAAGCTCCACACCAGCTGCGGCTAGAGCTGCCCTTCTGTGCTAAGTTTTGGTGTTCCTGCCACCGGCACTGGGGTTTGTGTGTTCTGTGACCTCAGGGTCCTTCCATCTGGCTCATTTCCTACGGTGGCCTTTAAGGAAAATCTCGAGGCTTATAGGGCAAACCTCTCAATGAAAACCGAGGGGAACGAGTCCGCCCTTTGCTCAGGGACATGCGTGCCCTCCTGGTTGGTGTGAGGCTGCAGTCCTGGCCTGGTCCCTCCTCTTCCTCTCCAAGTGGACTCTGGTTTTCCTGGACGACTCCATTGTGAAGATCCGGCCCGACCGTGGGGCACAGACGGTTGACAGGCTTCTGAGAGAGCGCCTCTCCGATAGCGTGAGGTAACGGCTTCATTACTCAGCGAGGAGTGACCCATATTTCCTAGTATGATTTCCCTGCTGTAACTCAAATTGAGTTCATGTTATTCTAATGATATCAGTTGACCTTGAGAATTAGACCAAGAAGCCTGGGGTTATTCTTCCAGCTTCCACCGCAGATTCTTGTGATGTGTTTGGAAACACAATCTGCTCCTCGTTGCCCTGAAGTGGGCAGGGGAAAAATAGAAAACAAAGATCCTGACCTGCTCTGATTTTTAGAAAATGCATTCGCGCAATTTCAGACCACCGAGGCTCCTTCCCTTTTGGTCCTACTCCTGCCGTGGCACACAGCTGGCATCTTCCCTGCCCACAGATGTGGTGAGCCAGGCTCCTCTGCCCTGGCCTCTTCTCCCGGCTCTGGCTCCCTTGTGGCAGGAAGGGGCCTCAGCTATGTCTTGTGGGTCTCGCGCCCCAGTCATCCTTCCAGGCCACCGTCCCCAGACAAAACAGGTGCATGCCTCTTCTCTAGAGCCCTCACTAGCTCTCCATTGCCCACGGGTAAAGCCCAAACTACTTGACCTGGCATTTGAGGCATTTAATTCCAGCCCGTCTCCATCTCAGTCCTTCTTGCCATGCATAGCACAGGATGACTACGTGCTGTGCCACCTCTGACACCTCTGTGCCTTGTTCCAGTGTTTGCTTCTAAAACACCCGAGACTCTCTCTCCATCCTTCTGCTCAAGCCCACATTTCACCCTTTTTGTATTTCATTGTGTATCTGACTCTTTCTGGAGCCCTGGCTGTTCTGGATGTTGTGGACACAGCTGTGAACAACACAGATCAGGTCCCTGTCCTGTGTGAGCTTCCATTCCCTGGTGTGTATGTGGGAGAAAATATCTATAAAAAATGAAATATCAAATATGATTAGTTTTAGCTGTGTGCCTGTGTGTGTGTGTGTGTGTGTGTGTGTGTGTGTGTGTGTGGTACTAGGGGTTGAACCCCAGATTTTTGAACTGAGCTACAGCCTCAGCCTTTTATATATATATATATATTTTTTGTGTGTGTGTGATAGGGTCTCACTAAGTCGCCCAGGCTGGGCTTGAACTTGGAATTCTCCTGCCTCAACCTCTCAGAGTACTGAGATTACGACCACACCCAGCTCCAGCACAACAAGCTTTGAAGGACAGAAACAGTAAGGTGCCCTTGGGGACTTGTAGGGATGGCTCCTGGAGCCTGTAGAAAAGCTGGGGGAGAGGAAGCCAGCCCCAAAACTCCAGGAGGAAAGTGCTTGGCCGTCCTAGGAGCTGGAGTGGGAACCTTGGCCCAAGATCCCCTGTGGTTGGGCGCAGGCTGGGCTGGGAAGCGGAGAAAGGCAGCCGGGTACAGCAGCGTTTAAGAGCTGGAACCCCGTGCAAGCAGCTGGGTCCAGATTCACTTTGCATGGCTGTGTGTCTTAGCAAAGTGCATGACATTTGGGAGCCTTGATTTCCTTATCTGCAAAGTGGGATAACACAGTAAGGAGTCAGCAAGTTCATACTGGTGTGGGGGGTTTAGAATTATGTGTGCCTTCGCTTATCAGAACAGTTTGGGAAATTCCACTAGTCCCATTTAGGTTTTCTTTTTCAAATTGTTACCAGACCTAAACACTATTGGACCCAATAAGTGTTGGGCCTGGGAATAGAGTAGAACAGAATAAAGAGCTGTGGTCAGGAATCTGAGCTGTTCTGTCTCTGGCTGCCTCCCAGGCTCTCTGGGTGCTGGGAGGTGAGGACCTGCCAGGGTCCCTGACCTTCCACACGGAATGTGCCTCACAGAGGCAGCAAAACAACCAAAAGCATCCCAGAGATATGCGCCTCGTCAGGGGCTCAGCTGAGCCCCATTGGAGGAGGAGAGGAGAGAGTTTGAACCAGGCTGACAGTGGCGTGTGTGATAAGCCAGGATACCCATGGCTTGAATCTTTGCCCTTGTTGAGTGGGAATGTGAAATTAAGCATTCAGTCCTGGAAGCCCAAATCTCCAGAGGATTCCTCTCTTTTGGAAGACAGCACCTCTCCCAGCACAAAGCAAGAGCAAGCAGCGGAGGCTGAAGGAAGAGGCATCCTTGGGGTGAGTGAGACAGGATGAGCTTGTTAGGGAAGGAGACCAGAGCGGGGTGGGGGTGGGAGGGGAAAGGGAGGGAGAGAGAGAGAGGGAGAGAGAACAATGGAGCGTAAAGGAGAGGGAGACCAGCAAAGACTACAGGGACAGAGACAGAGAGAAGTGGGGAGAGATAACACACTGAGCAGGACAGAGAGAGACAGAAATACACGGAATCAAAGACCTTGAGACATGGAGATAGTCAGAGAAGAAGACTGGAGACAGAGGAGGCCAAGGGAGAAGGCCAGGTGGGAAGTCCCAGCAGGAACCTTGGCCTCCTACTATGTGCCCAGAGCAAGCCAGGGCCACCTCCCCAGGATGTGTTTGGGAAATGGTCCCAGGGTGTTGCCATATCCGGCTCACACTCTCACAGGACTCCACGGCCACTCCCCCACACCCCAGGTGCACACGCGGGTGCACACACACACACACACACACACACTCACACACTCGTCCCACCCCTAAGGAGGCATGTGTTCATGGATCCTCCAAAACCGGGATCACCCTGCCCCCCGGGTTTCATGTTTCTGCTCCACCTGTATTTGGACGCATTTAAAGAGCAGGTGTGTGCCTTAACAAGCCCTTACAATTTTACTTTGGTCTAACATATAGCAAGCACTCAGCCCTGGATTCTCCGTTTGCCCTTGCCACCCTCTTCACCCCAGTGCGCGGCTGCTGTCTTGTGGCTGACACTGTTCTCCTCAGCTGGCGTCCACTGGGGCTGGCTCAGCTGATAACATTTTTCTCTGTTTCTGGCTCCCAGAAAGATTGCTGCAGATTTTGCTGGAGGCTGGATCCATGGGGAGCCCAGAACTGGGTTCCCACAGTGAGAGGTGGCCAGGTGGGAAGCAGGCATTTTCCTATGTTAAAATCAGGCAGTCAGTTCTGTCCTCCAGCTTGCTGGAGGTGGGTTTCCTGGACCCCCTAACTCTCCCCAGCCTGTCCTGCTGTTGGTTGTGGCACTGGGTACAGGAGGCAGGCGACCCTTCAGGTAGTGCTAAAGCAGTATCTCCATTTCAGAAATGTCAGATGAGAGGGAGACCAGGCCACAAGACTGATTTCCAGTCTCAAATCCTTATGGTATCTTAATGCACCCTTTATTTAATCTCCACCATAACTCCTTAAAGCAGGTACTCTCACTACCCCTGCAGCTGAGCTTCTCAAAGTGTTTCAGCTCAGTTACCTTGTGTGGATTCTCAGACCTGTGCTCCTACGCCATCTACTTGATAGTGGTTTGTGTTCTCAGGGCAGATTTCTTTCTGGTAAACATTTGTGGGAGTCCCAGCCATTGAACAAGGACAGCACAGCCCCAGTGTCATGCTTGTTTTATAAAAACAGCTGGGCTGTTTTATTTAAAAAAAAAATGTGCCTAGCAGGGGATGTAGCTCAGTGCTAGAGCACTTGCCGAGCATGTGCAAAGCTCTAGGTTTAATCTTCAGCCCTGAGAAAAAAGTGCTTTGGGTGTTCATGGCTATTATCTTGTCTGTGCCTCATGAAGCACTGGCAGACTGTGTCCATTTGGAAGATGAGATGGAGGCCTAGAAAGGGTTGAGGCAAAAGACTGGGCCTGGCAGACAATTTTCATGTCTGGTTTTGGCTCACATGACCTTCCCTTGTGACCCTGTGACCTCAGGCATCTGTCTGCCTTGTCCAGAACTTTTTTTAAAAAGGAATATTCTTCTAAGAATCTCTTCATACGCACCCCAGCTGTGAGCCTCTGTGGTAGCGGAGGGGGCTGGTGTCTGTGCACAGGCTGAATTTGAATTTACCTCCTCTTGCTGTGGTTGGGTCCCCCGTCCCACGTGTCCCTTTGTTGGAGGTTTGGTCCCCAGCATGTTGGTACAGGAAGGTAGTGGAACCTCTAAGGGGCGGGGCCTAGGGGGAGGTCCTGGTATCCCTGGGGATGCACCCCATGAAGGAAGTTACAAAAGGAGCGAGTCTGGCCCCAGCCCCTCTCTGCTCCTGGCTCAGAATGTGGACTGCTGCTCCCTGCAGCCTATCGTGGTGTGATTACAGCCCAGTGTGAAAAGGCCCTCATCAGAACTGAGCCACTGCAGGTTCCATGCCCTTGAACCTTCAAAACTGAGCTGAATAAACCTTTCTTTCATAAGTAGTCTGCCTTGGGTGTTTTGTTACTGTGATGGAAAGCTGACTACTACACTCTTCTTGGTAGGCCATAGGCTCTGTGAGGGCAGAGGATGCTTTTGGCTTGTTCATCACTTTCTCTTCTTGGGGATTTATACTTGCTGTTCCTCCCTGAAATCCATCCCTCCACCCCTAATGCCTGCCCTAAACTTTCTCAGTGGCCTTTGCTGCTGTCCCTCAAACTCAGGCTGCACAAGTTCCCTGGAGGAAGCTCCCTGTCCACCCTGATATTCTCCTGCATGAAAGATCCTCTGGGCTGAAATGATAAAGGTGCAGGTGGGTGATCACTGGTTCTGTGTCTGGCTGAGGTCAGGCACCATGGCTGGTGCTCATCCTGGAACACTCCCGCCCCCACCTGAAGCCCTTATCACAGGTGCTGAACAAGGACTCAGGGCCTGGTGACCTTCATTGGGTGAGGGTGTGTGGTGAAGGGAGGGGAGGGAGGCAGAGATGCAGAAGCAGGCGTCTGTCCCCATGGAGGTCAGCCAGTGCTGATGCATCTGTGGCTTCTTTGCCACTTTCCGTCACTTTGGGACAAAATACTGGACACCCACAAGTTAAAGGAGGGAAGGTGTATCTGGCTCACAGTTTGTAGAGGCTCCAGTCCATCGCTGGTAGGCTCCAAGGCAGGGTAGCACAGTGGAGGGGATCACAGAGGAGAAGTGGCTCATGGTGTGACCACTGGGAAGCAGAAATGAAGGGCAAGTCTGGGAGATAAACCCTTCCAGGCCTCAGCTGCAGGGCCCCACCTCCTGACAAATCAGCTCTAAGCTCCCAGATCCAATCACCTTCCAAAACCTCTGCCTGGGAGTACAGGAGGCTCTTGTGGGACTTCTAGATAAAAACCTTAACAGTGGCTTGGAAAAATAGCACCATCAATTAAAAGGGACAGAATAAAGTCATTTGGTGAAGAAACTGTGGCCATTCAATTGCCTTCTACTTCCATCTTATCTACATCCCATCCTGACCCAGCTTCAGGATGTTGTACTTTGTAACGTACCTACGAACAAAACCCTACCGTCCTGTCCTATGTCTCCTAGAATAAATCCAGTTCCCCATCATGCCTGAAAGGTCTTTTGGGATCTGCCTCTGCCCCTAGTGACTCCACCCCCCCCACTGTGCTTCAGAAAAGAGCCTCTTTTCTTGTCTTGAAATATATACATTTGTTCCTGCCTCAGGGCCTTTGCACAAACTGCTTTCTGGTCTTTGTTTGGGAGCTCCTTCTTATTTAATAAGAGCTCACATTTTATTTCCCCATAGGGGCTTTCTCTGAACATCCAAAGCAGAGTAGGCTCCCTCTTTCCATTGCCTATTGCTCTATCCTTCCTTTCCACTTATTGTCTATACTGCTCTCTGGCACTTGGCTTATTTATTTACTTATTTACTTGTTTGGGTAACATGCAGAACGGATTCTCCCTGTGCTGTTTGATGCTTCATCCTAGAGCCTAGAAAAGTGCCTGGCACATTGTAGGTGCTCCTAGAACATTTGTAGGGGGAGTACAAATGAATGAACAAGACCCAATTCTAAACTGATAAGTTAGGATCTCCAGGTGGGAGCAAGTTTTGGCCCCAGGCCAGGGGCATTTGCAGGTATGACAGTCCCCCTCTTCCTCCTGACTTTCTTCTCTGAGCTTCCCTTGTCTGTGTCACTGTGAGAGATGAGACCCTCAGGAGAATGTGGCCAGGCCACCAATCACGTAGCTTGCCCTATATGGGGCCAGCGTGGCATGGATGTCAGCAAGGTGGGTCCTGCTAGTCTGGCCTGTGAGAGTCTCTGAGGGAAGCCCTTCTGGGGCACTGGTGCCAGCAGTGCTCCTGGACCCGCTGGGGTGACCAGTGTCCTCTGCCCAGAATAGCTGTTTCTCCATGGCCCTGAAGACCTGATCAGTAGCAGCTCAGGTGTGACAAGTCCTCAGTAAGGAAACAGCCACCCGACAGGCTGAAAATCCATTGGAGGGGCGGTCCTGGGACTGCAAGGATGGGAGCATGATTTTCATCCTTGACAAACAGGTAAGAAATAACACAACACAATTCCCAGTAGTAAAATAGAAAATAAACAAAAAGCAGAACAAGGCAAAACAAACAAAATGAAACAAAACCCCAACACAACTCAAATAAAACACCCAGACGGGCCGATGTGTTGGGAGAACAAAGGACTGGAAAATAGACATCAAGATGTGCATAGGGACTGGTGGCTCGGAGGTTGTGGCTTTGCTTTCTTCCATATCGGGAGCCACATGTGCGGCCTCCCCCCTCCTCCAAGAGAGGGTCTGCCTGTTGGCCACAGTGAAGCCGGCTGCACAGGACAGGGCACAGCCCCTCCTGAAGACTTTGAGAGCCCTAGCCTGGTGTGCAGTGAGCCTAGAGGCTGGGACTCGGGTGAGCAGCAGGGGGCAGGCAGAGCTTTTAGGGGAGGAGGAAGAGGCTGGGGGCGGGCAGGCAGAGCTGGCTGCATCTCTTCTGTCACCTGTGTATCAGCGCAACTTTCATGTGCTTGCGTTCCCACGGAGTGGAAATCATCCTTCTTGTCTTTGATAGTGAATCTTTAGAGGGAGGCACAGAGGCTCCCTGGGTTCCATCTCCACTGAAAAAAGAGATCATGGATTCCAGTGAAGGAGCCTGTTAGCACCTGAATACCCACTTAGATCAACTGGTTCGCCCACGTCCTGGCAGAGCCCAACATCTGCTTTGATGGCACTGGTTAGATATTTTGGCATCTAATCCAGGCTGTTCCCAGGATGTCACAACCACCAATCACTTTAGATGAGAAAGAAATGAAATGACCAAGTCCCTTTGCAGCGCTGGATAGACTAAACTAACAGTCGCTTCCCCCTTTTGCCTTTGGCTTTGGTTGTTAGTGTCCCCTAGGTAGCCCAAGTGTGTGAGCGCCTTGTGCACCTGCTTTTTCCCCAGCGGAAATGGGAAGTGAGGGTTCTGCCTGGAGAACCAGGATGGGTGGCATGGTGCCACGGGGTGCTCCTGACAGCCCTGGGGAATTCTCACTCCGGCGTCTGTAGTGACAGCCCCTCCTACAGGAGAGAGAGGTTAATCACGTGGATGGAATGGTCCAGCTGGGACTTGGATCCAACTCTTGGGGCAGCAAATGTTTAGAATGATCTGCCCAGGCCCTAGGCTAAAATGATGGGGCAAGTTAAGCCAAGGTAACCAACACATCTGTCCATCACTCGGGTCCCAGGATGTTTTCGTGCTTCTGTGTGTACACAAGTAAGGTGGTGGACAGCAAGCCTGCTGGAGGCTGACTCCTGGCTGGGGTGGAATCCCAATTCAGTCTTTCAGAAGCTGCATGTCTTTGGGACACTGGTTCAACATCTTGCAGTTCAGCTTCTTAAGGCAAACATGGGGCCCACGAATCACTTACTTGGTGGACTGTTGCACGGATTCGATGAGATAGCCATATAGTGCTGCCCACAGTGGGTATCTGATGCCCTTCCCTCTGTGCATGCAGAGATGTGGCTCCGAGGATACAAGAACCCTTAAGGTGGTGGGAGAGAAATGGCCACCAGAGGAGCTTCTCCCAGCCCTTGGTGTGGCCTTCCTGGGTGTCAGCAGACTCAAAGCCAAGGTGTTTGCAAGTGTTTGATGCAGTCATTTGTGTGGTGATGTGGGATGCTGTGGAATGGTGCCCCAAAGGGTGGGAGGAGTGGTGTGTAGAGTTGGACCCCTAGAGTCACAGATGGCTGCAAAGCAGATGTTGTACAAAGAGAGGACTTTATTCGCACTCTTGCCTGGGTATACAGTGAACAATCTCCACGTGGATATTGCTGTTTGGCAGACACAGTGCAAATGCCAGGATGGCTGAAGAAGGGCATCATCAGGAAGGAGAGAGGAACATTAGACAGCTGTGGTCTGTTCAGTGGGTGATTGTGATGGTGGCGATGTGCCTGGGCAGCTTGGAGGGTAAGTGTGGGATCCTGTGGTGTGTGCGTGTGTGTGTGTGTGTGTGTGTACATATGTGTGTGTGTATGTGTTAAAGAGGGTTTTAGAGAGGGGATGGTGCCTAAGTCAAGTGTTAAAGAGCAAGTAGGACTTCTTCAGGGCACAGAGGGTCAATGCTTACAAAAATGGTACCGAGAGAGTGGCCAGAAGCAATGTGGATTCTGGAGTACGCGTGGATAGAGGGTGACAGGGACATGGTAGGCTGAGGATTGGTGGGCCCCTGTGGGAGCTTTGGGTCCTGGTGAGGGCTGTGTGTAAAGAGCAATGGGGGCCCTTGGCAAGCACAGTAACTCTTTCTTTCCAGCTCTGTTTTTGACAGTGACCTCTCCCTACAATGCTAAAAGAAGCTCTGGTCTGGGCTGGGTGGCAGAGGGTGGAGTGGGAAACCAGACTGTGGGGGAAATAAAGGTTTTCAGAGTCTATGGCCATCACTGGAGAGCTAAGGAAGTAAATGAATGGGGGGAAGTGGACCTAGGGCTTGATATTTACCGACTGTGATGCTTGATTGTTGGGATGCTACCAAGGAGATCAGACAGCAAGGACAGCCCAGTGACCAAATGCACAAAGTGGTCATCAACACAGAGTTCAGGGAAGGGGAGGTTCAGGGCCACCAGTGAAACACTCTGGGGGTGCACTCAGAGACGGCACATTCAGGAGACAAGAGCATGGAAGACAGGTGTGGGCTAAGTGCTGGACGGGGAGTCACTGCGAGGTAGTGAAAAGAGCAGCCAAGAAAGTGAGGAGCAGAGGGCCGAACATGAACCACAGGCACCGGCAGGTTTAGGGTGGGCAGGGGACAGGGCAGAGAACAGGGAGCAGCAACAGGGGTAGGTGGGAATCCAAAGGAGTGTGGCACTGTGAGAGCTGCGGTGATTCCACAATCGTCAGCATGTGTTACCATGCCGCAGAACAAACACCCCCAGGGGCCTGCAGAAGCAGAGAATGACAATTTAGGTGATGCAGCGTGCTGGGTCAATCTCTGCTCTCTTCCAGGCCCAGGCTGACCCTGCAGTCGCTCACTGTGATATTGCTCATCTCACAGCAAGGCTGAGGAGACATCACGACCACACACTGACTCCAGAAACTTTCGCTCTGAAGTGACCCACATCACTCCTGCCCACGTTTTGTTGGACAAAGCCAGCTCCAGGGCTACCTAAGGTCCACACGGTAGGGAAATACAATCCTCTGAAGAATAGGGGCACGGATACGACATCCTGAACAAATGTATAAGTAATGGCTGAATACAGGTTCTAGAAAGAAGGAGCGGTTAGAGGTGTAAACCAGGGCCACGAGAGCTGGCACAATAAAGACGTAAGCTTGCCATCAGGTGTGGAACTGGCAGATCTCCATATCCTCACTGAGAGCACAGTGGTGAGTGGAGTGGTGTCCCCACCTCAGGGGATGCGGGTGAGTGTGCAGAGCAGACACAGGGTCAACTGCTCTTCTGAGAAGTTTCAGTGTAAAGAAGGAAAGGGGAGGAGGGAAGCAGCTGAGAAGAAATGCTGAGCACCAGAGAGGGGTTTGAATGGTGGCTCTGCTTCTGTCTTTTCTCCAGCAGACACATACATGTGGCAGTGTGTTGGGCGGTTTTGTGTTACTGTAATGAAATGCCCGAGGCAGGCTACTTTATATATTAAAAAAAAACAGGTTTATTTTGGCTTATGTTTTTACAGTCTGGAATTCCAAACAGGCTCTTACAGGGTCTCCCTGGCTGTACCACATCGCAGCAGGAGCACACATGTCTGTGGGTGTGATCTCTGTCTTTCTCCCCACAAAGCAACCAGCATTCAGTCACGCAGGCTCCGCAGTCACAATCTAAGCTAATCCAGTCACTTTCCAAACATTTTTCGAATACTTTAGTGGGACTAAGTTTCCATCCTCTTAGTCCATTAACTTGAGACTTTGGAGTCTGGGGGCACAAACTATAGCAGAAAAATGGCAGAAGCGGCCACAGATTCTCCCGTCCTAGACCTGGGTCCGTCCCAAGCGCTCTCAGAGCCCCTCTCCTTGGGCATGGACGGGAGGCTGTGTGTGGGGACAGAGGACATGGGAGCTCTCTGCAGTACCATCTGTTCCGTTTTGCTCTGAAACTAAAAGTGCTCTAAAAGGTAAAGTATACTAATCAAAAAAAGAAAATAACAAGAAGCCAACAGTGAAGCTCTCAGCAGAGATTTGGGAGCTGGATGGGGTTAGAGATTTCTTATGGGCAAGGACAGGACCAAGCCCTATCTCTGCCCTTGGATGGACCCCACTCACCCAGAAGTCTCCACCCCATATCCCACGTCCATCCAGTCCTCTCTGCAAGGGCACCGAGGTGGCCTGCACTCACCACTGAAGGCATAATAGATATGAATATTTTATCTTCTCTCCCTTCTTGTCAAAACCCCTAATATTGCTTTCCATAAATCAATTTCATCCAAGCGCTCTGTACGGGGCACAGCATAACTTTCTGCATTTAGTCTTTGATCTGGTCTCTGGCCTGCCTTTATGAACAGCCTGACTCACAGAGACCCTTCAGGGCAGGGGCATTCTGATGGCGAGCGGGCGGCTTCCTAACTTGGTGACTTCTCATCAGCCTCATTGCTTTTACATTAAAAATAATCATTTCAGCTGGGGCAGCTGAGGCTGAGCGATAGCCGCTTAATTGCACCCACCTTTTAGCCCTCTTCTCGGAGATTGATTCTGGGGCTTTCTTAGCATAATACACGCCAGGGTCTGTAAAAGCAGAAAGCGGCAGCCCTCTTAACCAGAGCAGCAAAGCCAATTGACGCGTTTCTCCTGTTAAATTTACTGGCTTTATTGAAAGGTCTTTGGGGAGTTGCTTGCTCATTAAATACACCAAATACAAAATCTCGCTTAATGCAGTATTATCTTGGTAATATAGAAGACTTCCCCGATGTGAGCGCAGAGAGATGAAATTGTCAACGCTTTCAGGAGGCCACACCAGCAAAAGCTCACTTGCCTGCATAAGCAGCTACCTTGCATGTCTGCACCTTGGAAGCTTGTTTTGCTGAATCTGGCCCAAGGAGTCTCCTGAGCCAGGTCAAATGTGGCACAAGGTGTGACAGTGGCCAGGGTTGTAGAGAATTTGATGTTGGATCTTTTCCCTAACTGTTGGAATTAGGAAGTGGAGAACGATTTGGACTCAGTCATTCAGTGCAGTGCCTGTTCTGGCTTCCCATGGTGGCAGGACTAGGGTAGGGAACAGGGGCCGGTACTGGGGGACCCCAACCATAGTGAGAACTGGGACCTGCGACATCTTGAGTTAGACCCTGGCCATAGCCAGCTGAATGTCATACCTGGTGGGCAAGGACATTTGCTGAGGGCAGAAGGTGTGCTGAGCCCTGGGGACACTCTCCTGATGCGACAAGATGACTGAGCCACTTCATAAGTGTGGGCTGCCAGTTTCTTTCTGGGTAAAATCAGGTGAGAAATGCCTTTTCCTCTGTTACAAGTTTGGCTCACAAAAGAAAAAGATGCCATCATTTTCCTAAAAGGATATGGGTCAGCGAACAGTGCAGGAAGTCTTGGGTAATTTTAACAGCACAGAAATAGAAGGGAAAACCCAGAGTGAAGAGGGAGAAAGGAAGCTGGCACACACTCGGCCAAAGGAGGAGTAACCAGAACAAAGGGACGATGCGAACGCGCAGATCCGGAGGAGCTTGCCTGATGGCTGTTCGACCATTTCCTCCAAGGAAAGACGCCTTTGTCCGCCTGACCCCAGTATCCTTTCTCTCCTTCCAGGACCTTCGCTCCATTCAAGTTTATAGGGCAGCTCTGCAGGGGCCACCGATTTGCCCAGTGTTAATATCTCCCTTGCCCTTGACCATCAGACTGGGTATATGTCTTGAGTGGACTGCAAAGCTCGCGATGCATCCTCTATGGTTCTGTTCTTTGCCTCTGGTTTCCCACCCATCTGCATGTCCTGATGGATTCAGGGAAGACCCTGCCTCGAGTGGGAGGTGCTGGATTGTCTTCCTGTTACTGGCTCCACCTGGAAAGAGACTCATTTTGCATGAGGGTCTCGCTGGGAACTGGCAGTTCCCCATGCTGTGGAGAGACGAGGCTTCCATGTGCGAATGGAGCCAGGACATGAACTTGACCGGTCAGTGAAATGGGGATGTGGACGGAAGCGATGCGACTGCTGGGGGCAGAGGATAGAGTCATCCCATGGTCCTACCCTTGCTGCGTTCTCTCTGCTTTGGGTGTGGCACAGCCTGAAGGGTGGTGGCGGTCCTTTGGCCTGGATCCTGAAAGTTGATATGCACAGAGTCACAATTTGTGAGTGGCCAGAGTAAATCCCTGTAATAAGTCGGGAGATTTAAGCGTGTTGGTTATCTAACCATAACTTGGTAAATACTGACTGACACACATTGAGATTGGAGTTCTAAATAAATGTGTAATAAATCGAGGCACGTGAAATTGTAGCTGTGGCAATAGCTTCAAACGGGAGGACCATGGTGCCATGACAGCGCGTGTCAGAAGGTGCTGGCCTAGGGAAGCAGGATGGGAGGTAGGGAGGTGAGGACCAGAGGGAAGAGTGCTCCAGGAAGAGGGAGCAACTGTGGAGTCCCAGGTTGGGAGGGATCAGTCAGGGTGTGTTTGAGAAATGGGAACCACAGGAATCAGTGTGGAGAGAACGGGTGATGTGAGATGGGAAGGCAGGCAGGGGCTGTAGACTGAGGGTTTGGGTCTCTACCTGAAGTTCAAGGACGGGAGAGGAGTGCGGGCATTGGAGGGGGAACACAGACAACATGAGGGATTTAAATGTCCACCAGGCTATCTCGTGCAGGACAGTTGTAGGAGGCTGGGGACTGGGGAAGGCAGAACAGGAGCCGAGACAGGTGGGGTTGTGAGGAGGCCTGGGGTGGAGAGTTTCAGGGCTTGGTCTCTGCTGGGGGCTCAGCACTGAGTGCTGGTCTGCTGTCTGCTGTCCCCAGGCAGTGTCCAGCTGGCTGCAGTCCCCCGTGAGCCTCCTCTAAGGCTTACCGGATGCCGAGGGAAGAGGGAGCAGGAGGTCATAGCTGCACTGTGACGCCATCTGTCTCTGTCACCAGATGAAGGATGAACCATCCTGGGTCCCCACTTTGCACCAGGGCGCTGTGTTCACCCACGGGGGTGGGGTGGCAGGGGTCTTAACACAAACCCTTGGCAGCTGTGATGTTTTAAATGTACAAGGATGCAGCGTTGCAAGGAAAGCCAATTTTCTCGAAGCACAGTTATTGAAATATTTTTTAAAGTTGTGATTTAGTAGCACGAGTCCTTGTTAGCACATTACACAATAGCTCATGGCAAGTCTGACAACTGCTGTCATCCGGAAGCAATGACAAGCATAGGTGCTATTTTGAGGAATCTGCAACCCTGTGGTACAATTAGGAAAATACCTGTGCTTTCTCACGGTGACAGGCACTGCTGTCACTCACTGCCCACATTTGTAATTTGAAGGAGTGGCAGATTTTACTTAGAGATTGGTGGAAAGAGAGGTGGCATTTTTTTTTCCTATCCAAGTTCACAGACTCCATGAAAATGAGCCTCAGTTTCTTCATTTCGAAATGTGGGTCATCACACTGACTCCAAGGGAAGCTGAGAGAGTGGAGAACCCACCTGGCACCTAATTTCGAAGGTCTGAGAAACCATCCAAAACCAGGTGGAGCTGCCAGGTGGAGGTCTCTGATTGGTAGTGATCCAGGTGAGTTCCGTTCTTCTGGTCTGGCAGACCTTAGAGTCTGGCCTCCCAGGTGACTATTTGCAACAAGGCCTCCGGACTCTCCTTTCATCCCTTCCGTCTTTGCAGCTTGACCCTGAACACTGCTGTCAACATCCTTCCTAAATGCAGTCATGGCTCCAGAGGAAATGCTTGCCAGTCCTGTGATCCACTCCATGTCTCTGCTAAATCCATCCTGGGTAAAGGCAGCTTCCTGGAATTTAAGGATTGGTAGGAACAAACCCAGGGGCAAATCCACTGCCAGGACCAGTTTGGTTTTCCAAACAATGGGAGCGGTAGCCTGACTTGCAGGTGCCTCTCCATGTGGACACATTCAGTGGGCAGCCCCAGCCACTCCCACAGTGCCAATGGGGAGGTGAGGGGAGTGGGTCGTGGTGTCATCTCTGCTGCTGGCCTCCCGTGTGGCCTTGAGCACCCATCTAAGCCCTCTGAGCTGCCATCTTTCCATCTGTAGAATCGGCCCACTTGTACCTGTCATCTGCCTCTTGATACCAGGAACCTACAGGCCATGGCAGACAGGGGGCTGTGCTTAACACCCGAAGCCTCCTTTGCCTTATCCATGGAAGAGGCTCCCAGCGTGCCCTCCTCAAGGGCTGTTGTGTGAATTACAAAGGCACGTGACAGCTCACCCAAATGTCTAAAAGGCATCACACATTTAACTCTGATATACCTAACCTTGCCTCTGCCCCAGTCGTGTCCCTTCTCTGCACCAAATTTTCCAGTGGTTCCCATCTTGCTCAGTTCCTTACCTCAGCTTATAAATTCCTCTGTGACATAACATTCTCTCCTCTCTGACAGTTTTCGCAACCTCTTTAGTCTTTCTGGCCACATTTTTCAAGCCCTCACAAGCTCATTCTTGTACAGGGCCTTTGCACCCGCTGCTCCCCCTGGAGCATCTTCCCTGCTCTGCCTCACACCTGGCTCTTCTCAACAGTGAGTTCTGATCTCCTCAGAGCAGCCTCCTGCAAGCCTGGCCAGCCAACTTGCCCTCATCATGATGGAGCTCTGGGAGAGACAAGAGAGGCATCCTGCAATTGTATGCTTTTTTGAGCACTTAATCCTTGCTGGCACTGGGTGGAGAACTTTGACCTTAGTTCTCCTGACAGTGCTATAAATTAGGTATTTTTATTATCTCCATTTAGGGGCAGACTTAGCGGTGGGGCAGGAAAGCAGCCATTCCAGGCTTTGGACATGAACTTGACTTTGGAAAATGGAAGGAGAACTGTTTAGGAATGGAAGACCTCTTGCCTCGCCCTGTGGAAAATCCCATTCTAAGATGCGGTGGCCACGGCTGAAAGAGTAACCTGGTCTGTGATGGAACATCATGCCTTGTGTCTCCCTGGTGCCCTGGCAGGAAATGGTTAGGGCTGGCTCATCCTAGGAGGAGAATCAACCAGACTGGCAGTTTCAAGCTAAGGCACTGATTCAGATTCTCTGACATCATCCACTGGCCTGGCCAAGGTGGTTGGTTTGCAGGAGACTTTGTCTTCCAAGACCAGCCAATCAAAGCCAGTCACAGGGCTCTTGCTAGGATGACAGGAGGCACCATGCAGGGTCCCTCCTGCTGGGCTTGGAGCCAGAAGGGGATACTTTTGGAGCACCACAGGCATTTTGTATCCAAAGGGGAGACCCTGTCAGAGAAGAAAGCTCATGAAGGAAGAAGGGCTTAAAAATAGGAAGAGATCAACACAGTCTTGAAGACACCATTAAGCTCCTGGATCTGATGAAAGACTGGCCGTGGACTTATCAGTTATAAGAGCTAACAGATTACCCTTTGGCTTAGTCACTTTGAATTATGGGTTTTGTCACTTGCAACCAAAGGAATCCTAATTGCTATAACCTGTCAAGCACTTGGAAGCTCGAAGCCCCCTTTGTGGGGTCCATGGGGAGCCACTGGAAGTTTTTGAACTAAGGAGTGGCAAGTGCTGAGCCTTCGTCCAGACAAAGTCTAGGACGTTTCTTGGAAGAGGAGAGAGCAAGCTGGCCCACGTTCCCCCCATCAGCTCTGCCACCTCTCTCTTCCACAGAGGGCAAAGCTCTGAGCATCTACCACAGGGCCAGCTTCATTTACAAACATCTTCTCTTCTCTGTGAGAGAGAGAATAGCTTCACATCAAAGTGGTGCGGCAGCTTTCCTTAAACAAAACAGCCTTTCCCCTCCCCGCTGCCATGCAAAGGCAAGAAACCTCATTTAACCACCTGCAAGTTCCCTTTCATGGTCCCATGTCATTATGGGAACGCTTTGATGAGGGCCGGTGCAGGAGTGGGGGAGAGCACTCCACCATTACAATTAACTTGTTAGAGACAATGACGCCCAGCCAAGGCCCCTGCCTGCTGGGGTGTCAGGTGGGTGTGATGAAAGACTGCCCCGGTGGGGAATTTGGTGGGGGAAACCGCAGCATGGGCAGGCTGAGGCTCGCTGGGTGGAGACTGACTGATTGCAGCCTCAGGTCCTTGCTGGCTGTGGGAACATGCCAGGCAGTGACCTCAGCGCCAAGAGCAGCATGGCTGCTCTACCCAAGCCTTGGGATACCCTGTGCTATCTTATCACTGTGGCCCAGCAAGGGAGGCTCCGGAGTCCTGGGACTGTTATCAACTCCTCCTGCTGGTTGTGAGCCTGTTCTCTGTTTGTTTGTGGTGCCAGGGATTGATCCCAGGGCCTTGCATGTACTAGGTAGGTACTGTGCCATCGAGCCACAGCCCTGGCCGCCTATCTGTGAAATGGGCTGAGAATGTCCACCGGGGTAGGGTGTGCCTGGCCTGTGTCGGCCATTGCTGTCTCATTAACAGGAGGTGCACTCAAAAGGCAATGACAGCCACTGAAATGGTCATGGGTACGGGACAAAGCTCAGCTGCTGGGAGGGTCCTGGAGCTGTGTGAGCCATAGACCTGGGCTCCTTCCTTTCTTGGGGTGTCCCTGCTGTTGCATGGGGGTGTTGACCACAGAGCTGCTTCCTTAAACCTTGAAAGTGGCTGTACTGAGGTCCCTGCCTGAGATTTTTTTGACTCATGGACTGTGGACCCCTGAGATGTCAGGAGTGGAGGGGACCTCAGGGTCTGCAGGTCCCTACTTGGAGTGGCCTTAGAGGGACCTGGTCCTCATCTGGGTTCATGCCTTGCCCTTCTGGTATGGTATTCATGGATCTCTTGCCATAATATCCCCCCAAATCATTCTCAGCACTCTTTCCTGTTCCTTGTCCTTCCTGGCTCCCTGTCCCCTGCCTCATTTCTGTCCACAAAGTGACCTGGGGGAGCTGTAGAAAGTGCCAGGCTGATACTGCCATTCCTTTGTTTTAATCCTTGCTGCACCTGCAAGGCCTGGCTACTTCCCTTGCTGCTGGGGTTTCCCTCTCAGGCCCTGTATCCCTGCCCCTTCAAACCTCCTCTCGGCCTCTCTCCAGGGCCTCTGTGCCTACAGTACCATTTGCTGGAGTCATGCTTCCCCTTACTCCTGCTCCTCTGGTCTGAGAAAGGGGTTTGCATTACAGGCCCCATCAGTACATCCCAGGCTTTTTTCTCCCCAGCATGTCACCTTCCCTCACCACAGCTCCGCAGCACCCTCCCTGCTGGTAACCCGCATGGGCAGGGAGTATTGGCCTAGCACCCTTTGTGTCCTACCTGCAGGAAGCCGTCCTGGCCTGCTCTGTCCTGCCCTACGAGGCAGCCTGGAGACCTCAAGTCCAGGCCCCAGGGTCTCTGGGTGAACCATCCCGGCTCCTCTGAGGCACACAACGGCTGCCTAATAATTAGCTTGCCAATTATAGGCCCATAATAGAGCCTTAATCGGGCTCAATGGCAACGGCTGCTCACAGAAGGTCTTTCTTCCCAGGCCCAGCCCAGCCCTGTTCAGAGAGCCTCGCTTTGGTGAGTATCAGAGGCCCTCTGCCTCCTCCAGGTGCCCTGTTCTGAGTCTGCTGTCCAGAGAGGCCCCTGTCCAGGGAAGGGTGGGTGGGCCACCAAGGTCAGGGCTGGTAGCAGGGCCTCTGTCCGAGGTGGATGGCTACAGGGAAAAGTGCCTCATTATGGAGATGTACCAACTGGCACGGCCCGGGAAAGCCTTCAGGTCTGTGGACATGAAGACTTAATTGCCTTAAGGACACCGGAAGAATGGAGGGTTTCTCTAGGGAGCGGTTCCTCGCCTCAGCTCTTTCTGTCTCCCCCACTGGATAATGACAGGACTTGTGACTGATTAAAGGGGGAAGATGAACGCTCCTCTTGGGGGCTGGTAACGGGTTCCACCTACATTGAAAGCCTGTACCCTCCCCAACTCCCCTTCTCCTCCCACTGACTTTTCAGAGGTGATTTTTAATTGCTTTTTCCCAGGTGGAGAGAGGGAGAGGAGATGAGGGAGGGTGGGCCTGCATCTCTCAGCACCCTCCTGCTTACTGGAGCAGCTTCCCCGGCAAGTGCCAGCAATAAAGTACTTAGTAGCTCAGGGATCCCTCCCCTGGCTGCACCCCTCTGTCCGCTCCTCTTCAGATGCACCAACTGCTCCTCCTTTAGGGAGTTTGTCCCATGAGGTCCCTGTGCCCAGAAATCCTAACTCCTAGATCCCTGAGGCTTGCTCCCTTTTGTCACGTGGATGACGTTTCAAATGACCCGACTGCTTATCCTGTAGAATGTCAAGTGCGTTCGTCTCTCGCTATCTGCTGTGGGTCGGTTCCAGGGTCTGTGCAGACACAAAACCTGAGGACGTTCAACTCCCTTCCAGAATACAGCATAGTGTTTGCATAGAACCTAAGCACATCCTCTGAAAGACTTTCAGTCATCCCAGCTCACTTGTAATACCTAATACAGTGTAAATGTTACTTACAGCAATCGTGACAAGAAAAAAGTCCATACGTGTTCAGTATGGGCGCATTCTTTTGCAGTGTCTTGGATCCACGGGTGGTTTTATCCACGGGTGCAGGCCCTGTGGATATGGAAGGCTGATGGCACGGCCTTCAGAGGCCACTGTCCATCCCTGCAGCCTTGAGCTCTGGACACATAGTATTTCTTGGTACTTGTGCTAGCGCTGCTCTGCTGGTTCTGAAATGCAAGCTTCCAAGAGCAGATTTCTCTGCTTACTGTGGTTTCCAGTGCCCAGTGCAGTGCCTGGATCCTAAATGTTTGGGGGAATAGCAGCGAACTTCCCCCTATCGACCCAGGACCGCTGTTGGCCCGCAGTCTGGCAGAAAGCTTTGCCTTGCTCTGTCTCATCAGGGACAGGCCCCTCCTAAGACTTTGCGGTTGACAATGGTGCCTTTCTGGAAGTCACCTCCATTTCCAAGCTGGCCCGGTGGGGCCAGGATAACGAAGCTGCTTTAACATAAATAATTTGCTTCTGAGGTGTAAAAAATGGGGAATATTTTTAGAAGGCCTGCCCTCCTAGGGGAAGTAAATGACTTATGAAAACGCGATTTTTCAAAGTGGCCTTCAAGAGAAAAGGGAGCCGTGTGTGATGGCCAAAATGGGATTCAATGAATTAGTGCGACTCATTATTCTGGCTGTCCGCACACAGACGCGCATACACTCACTCGCTCACTCACTTTTCCTCCTGCCTTCCACTTCATGGTCTTAGCTCGAATCTGAAATAAAACCACGCAGCCCTCCTCCCTGGCCCTCAGCGGCGGCCTGTCTGATTGGATGCCTCCCACAGCCCTGAAGACCAGAGCTTCAAGGAAGAAGCAGCCGGGGACACGCTGAGTCCTCGCTTCTTAAAGTGCGCGCCGCCGTAAGTTACCTTGAAATGTTTTTTTTTTTTTTATTTTTTTTTTTAAAAAAAGTATTTTCGTCACCAGACA